TGCTGTCTGCTACCTGCTGCCAAAGTCCTCAAGCAGTTTCAGCCTCCTGCAGAAATACTACTGCTCTCTCCACCAGAAGGTAGAGCCTCCTGCAGAAGAATATCCTTCAGGATTAACTCCAGTTAATACCAGTGAAGAGTTTTCACTCTCCAAACATGTTATTTGATACTGTGTGATGTTTCAAAACTAGAAGCAGATGATTTGGAAAGGGATTCCTAGGTGGATGCAGTTCAGAATGTGGCTGAACTTTCTAGACCTGACACAACAGACATTAGAAAATACATGGAAAGAGAGACTTCTAAAAAGGCTTTTTATGTCTTTGAGACAGTCTTTCTTGTACAGATTAAGTTGGGATAACTAAAAGACTTTTGCAAGAGGAGGGGTAAAAGACCACCACACCCTTCATACAAGGCACTTGGTGGCCATCAAGTAGTAATGGCTTGTGGTCAGCAGTGACCCAGGCCAGAGCTGGAAATGTGAGCCGTCACCTCAGGGTGGAAGGTCTTGTATCCCGTCATTGGTGACCTGCACACAGCCTCCTCTCCATGTCCACATGGCTTGAATTCAGCATGGCTGGGGAGACGTTGTGTGTGTGTGTCTCTCCTGCTGGTCTGGACCCACTCTGGGTGCAAACAGAGGAGAAAAGAGCTCCCTGTAAGCAGAGACCCCCTGTGTGCATTGGCTTTCTCCTCCACAGAGTGAGGAGACTCCTGCCCAGGCACTGGAGGGCTCTACCCTCCCCTTCCACGAGCAGCGATGTTGCCATGCTGCTGGTGCTCCCCTCTGCTGCCCTGTGTCCCTGCAGCACTTCCAGCCACTTTGTACAGGCAAAAATCTGCTTGTGGCCGTTCTGTGCAGCTGTGCTGGAGCTATGGGAGCTGCTGCAGGCACTGTGACCCTCAGAGTGCACGGCTGCTGCCTCAGCCCAGCTCTGCCAGGCCTGACACCTCCCAAACCCACCATCAGCCTCAGTGTCTGCACGTTTCCATGCCCTGCCAGAGAGCTTGTTCTGTGCTGGAACCACAGCAGGCCACCAGCTGAGCAATGCCTCTCTCAGGGAGAGCTGCCCTCTGACATCAAAAGTAGCCAGCAGGACTTGTGGTGTTCACAAACCAAACCAGAAACCATCAGAAATTAGGTTTATTGAGAGCATTACCAGTTTAATTCTTTGCTTCTCTTTTTCAGAAAGGAAAACTGGAATTTGCCAGAAACAGCTAGGCACATGTGCACACATCAAATGTTCCTGAAAATTGATGCATTGTAATCAGGGTTTTTTCCTTTGATTTTAAAAAGAAGTCCACCTCTAGGGATGAAACACTAGATCAAGCACCGGGGTTAACACCTGAGCTTACTATAATCTTGACTTTTAGACTGACTGAATAATGTTGTTCATATCACAGACAGGCAAAACATCCTCTTCACTGTCTCAACCTAAAGATGCAATTAGTGCATTTTCATAGTGGACACGATCCTGTTCACACCCCTGGCAGAGCAGAGCTAACCCTGCTGTGCTGCACCCAGCTGGGGGCTGCAGAAGAGCGTCAACAGACGCCGAGCTGCAGAGGTGAGAGCCCACTTCTGTACCATGCACAGGCAGCTGGGCCTCAGTGGGATGTGCAGACCTTACAAGGTCTGGCAAGTTTACTTGACCAAATCCCTCGGGTGACTTAGAAGGAACAAAGGGAGACAAAAATAGATTGATGGGCTGTGTCAGGAGAATTACAAGTGTCAAAAATATCTGTTGCTCAGGGCACAGGAAGATGGAAGTGACTGGGAGAGGCCAGAGTTCAGGGCTGGATTTATAAGGCTCCTTCTGGCACTGATAATATTACATTGTCATATCTGCACGTGTGTTGCCAGAGTCAGGATGACTCTTCCTTTATCCTCTGCTTTTCTTTTTTCTTAACAAGATTTTCTTAAAGGCTTTTTCAAAAGGCATCACATGGAGCATCGCTCAGCCAGGGCAGCCTGGAGACAAAGAGCAGGGCTGCCTGCAGCAGAGAGAGAGGGCAGGGTGCCAGCAGGTGTGTCCTGGCAGAGGTGCACACCTCTAGGGAGCAAAGCACCCTGCAAAGCACCTAAATTCAGTGTCTGTGCTGTGGGAGGGGGTCCACTCACAGTGCTCAAGGGCAGGGGCACAAGGACACCAGTGCAAATTACTGTTATTATCTTCTGCTATGTGAGATAAAAGAGAGATGGAGTGTGTGATAAATTGTGAAGACAGGTGCTGGTGTTTTTCCAAAAACCACCACATCAGTTGATGTCTCTGGGGCCTGGCATTAGGGCAGGACCTGGCCAGAGCAGGCACAGCCACTCTGCCTGGGCATGACCTGGCTCAGGCTGCTGCCAGAGAGCCTGGCTCTGCCAGCCCTGGCTGTGTGAGCTGGCCAGCCTCTGTGCCTGCTCTGGATCTACTCTCATGTTGGAGCAGATTTTATCCCATGGTGTACATTTGTTCTCCGGCAAGCTGGAAGCTACAATTTATTATTAAAATTGATTGGCTCCAGTGCAGGGAAAACGATCACAAGGAAACCCTATTACAGATTTTCATTATCACCATTATTTATTTTTAAGTGCTATTAATATTCCTGAGCCTGGACAAGGCAGAAAATGAGAGGTGGTATCCACCCCTGCTGCTCACAACCTGAGGCTTGGCACGCGAGGGCTCTTGGAACAACTGAGCGTGTTGGGAAGTTTTTGTTCTCAATCTGCCTCTGGCAAATGCTAATGGAAGTAGAACTGAAAATATTTGCAAAATAGTAAAATAGGTTTGTTTGTATCATAGGCTGGATAGCTTTTATTTTTTTCTCCCTAGTAATGAGCTCTTTTTTCTTACCTCTGTGATGTCACTAGCATTAACTATGAGGGTTTTGATACAATTGAAGTTGAGGAACAAGGTATGTTGTAACTCTTGGGACACTTTATATGGAAATAATTGTTTGGGAATGCTACAGTTCAGGAAATGAGCACAAGTTCAGGAATACAATGTGTTATGCAAGCTAGTTTCACAACAGATGGGTTTTTTTCTGTAATTCCCTACTATTTCTGAGAACTCATGTAGTAGCTTGTGATGGAAGCCCCAGAGGCTCACATCACTAATTGGGCTGGCTTTGTACCTACTGCTGTGACTGTCATTTGTGATGTGATGATTCACACTGAAGCATTGCACAGCACTGACTTGGATCACGCTATCTGTGCCGTTAGGATTTTCTGACAAATTATGATCTGGACAGAGTATCTAGACGGAAGATGGAATTTGTGTAGTCTTTGAAAAAGGAAGGTGTAAAGCAGCATGAGCAGAAATGAAGCACAGCAAATGTTGTCTGCACCTGGTTTGTCTTCTTTTCTGCCTGAGCCTGTTAGCAGGACCAGTCAAAGCAGGAGGCTGAGGCTGTTATAAAGCTGAGCTCCTGCAGCTGCTTTCCCAGGAATTTCTGATTTTCAAATGGTCAGACATATATAAAGACCGAGATGCTGTTGGTATCCTCATTCTTAATATTTGTCAGTAAATAACAGACTCTTCTTGCAAAAGCATTTTTAACCCTTGATTTGTCAATGTTAACCTCCAGTGGGGATGCAGATTATTCCATCAGGCACCGATCCCCAAAGTGAATTCAGAAGTTTGGCTACAGTAGGGGTTTGTGTGCATGAGGAAACCTGGTTTTTAGCCCAGAAGCTCCATGGTGATTTAGAGGTCAGGATGTAACTTCAAAGCATTCTTCAAAGGTTTTCAGATAAAAATACCTGTAGGAGACATGATTTTGGCAGCCCAGTCTATTTGATTGATGTGTGATTTCTTATGAAAGAGTATGTAGCAGGAATATATATTGTTAGTGACCTTTTCAAAAGCCTCTCCTCAGAGGGGATTGAGCCACCAGGGCCTTGGTCCCTGCCTGGGCCAGCAGAATGAGTCTTCACAGCTCCTGGCTCCTGATCTGTGCAGTTCCTATTTCTCAAGTGCAGAAGGTGAATGACTATTTTTATACCTCCCACGAGCAATGGAAACGCTCATGCCAGGGCTGGCTCTCAGTAGTAACAGAAGTTGTAGAAAGGACTTTTGCTATTTTCATTCCAATAACCATGATGTAAGTAGAGATACCACACAAAATTCTTCATTTAATCAGTACTGATCTCCACAGATGCCAGGAGTAGACAGACACAGAGAAAGAACATTAGTATTTCATTCGGAAACACATCTCTCAATCAGAATTAAAGGACGTTGTTAGAAGATAAAGGGAAACAGACAATTTTGAAAGTGAGATGGAGGAATCTGTCCTCCCAGGGAAGCTTTTATCCTAGGAAAATGCTAACAAGATGAGCTTGCAGACAGTCAAAGGCTGACAGAAGGATCTGGGAGTCTCCCTCACATCCCATCAGATCCTGCCTGGAAGGTGATCCGGGAGGCAGATTTCAAATTGCAAGCACCCTTTAATGATGTAGAGCAACATTCTCAGAGGGAAAGAAGGGATGATAGATTAAATAAGGAGCAATTCTATAAAGAAGATCTGCTATACCATTGTTTTTCATGACAAAATGTGTTTTATTTTGTTCAGGATACATCTGACCTAAGATGTAAGATTGTAGTAGCATCCTGGTTTCTCAGAGTTCCTTATTTCTCAGTCAACAAAAAGCTACAGAAATGGATTGAAAGCAACTAATAATGGTAAAAAATATGACCAAGGTTAAGAGAGTTCACTAAATTTCCACATTTGATATCTAGAGGTATCAAATACTTAAATTCTCAGCAGTAATGGGTGGTATCAAAATGTAATCTCTCAGTAATAGCATTTGCTGAATTTTAACAAACAACAACAAAGGTATTTTCTAATTTTTATTCCTCATACTTGTAATAGTTTATAATGAGCTAAAGATTTAAATGTCCCACATCCTCTCCAAATTTGGAAGCTGACACAAACAGTCATTTTTCCCTAATTTGCTCTGTACTGTGTTCCCACACACTCCTCTGCCAGCCCTCTCTAACCATCCTCCCTTTTTTGCAGCGTGCAAGAGGAAAGAACAAGAACACGGGAAGGATAGAGGGAACACACCCAAGAAGCCTCGGTTGGTCTTCACCGATGTCCAGCGTCGAACTCTACATGCAATATTCAAGGAAAATAAGCGTCCGTCCAAAGAATTACAAATCACCATTTCCCAGCAGCTTGGGTTGGAGCTGAGCACCGTCAGCAACTTTTTCATGAATGCACGGAGGAGGAGTCTGGATAAGTGGCAAGACGAGGGCAGCTCCAATTCAGGCAACTCATCTTCTTCATCAAGCACTTGTACCAAAGCATGAAGGAATAACCACGAACTGAAACCTCGGTGGAAAAGCTTTAAAAATAAATAAATAAATAAATAAAGACAGACCAGGACCTCAAAATAGCAGGTTTATACTTAAAACTATTTGAAAAAAAAATATTTATAAGTCCAAAGAAACCAAAGACTTATTTCACCTGCATTATGACTTTGTTCTAAGACACACACTTTAGTAGGATGACGACTTGCAAAAAACAGAGAGGAAGAAGAAAGCGAAATGGAGGGAAGGAAACAGAAAGCAAAGAGAAGAGGAACAGACCACTGGTCTTACACCTTTGCCCATTATCATCTTCACCGTACTTGGCTGTTTAGTGGTTTGGAGCATAGTGATTTCCTGTCATTGAACAGACATCTCTTTGGATACAGCTCTTCATGTCCACAGCAATTGCCATGAAGGTGTTCAGTGTATCCGTACTGCGTACACGCCAGTGGGTAGGGACTTAGGGCTGGTCTCCAGAGGGGGCTGTGCCACGGCACAGCCAACAAAGCGTGGAGTCGTCTGAATTCCTTGGAACGGTAGTGTGATTTTTGCTGTTTCACAGTTTGAACTTGATTGGTGCAATGCCTGGAAACAAGTTCAAGCTAGGCAAAGAAATTTTGAATGGTACCTAAACCAGTGCATTCTCTTTGTTTGTTAAGGAATGTTCAGATTTTAAAAAGGAAAACTATTCCATCCATAAAAAAATCTACTAGCTACCAAAGAACACATTTAATAATTATATTGCAGGTATTTTATTGCAATGATTTTAATATTCCAAAGCTATTTTTACACAAATACTATGTAGAGTTATAGGTATAAACTAATCTAACTGTATAACACATAAAACTTGTAATCAAGACTGTTATTTGCAATTAGTAAAACCACATTATTGTTTCTTTCTGTGATTGGCAAGAAAGAATGTCACCCGAGGAGATCACAGCCCCTGGCAGAGCACGGGAACTGAGAATGGGATGCTGCTTCCATTGAACTCAGTGAGCCCTTTCCTCACTGACTTCAACGGGAGCACAAGAAAGAGCCACGTGTTAGAGCCATGGGTGTCACTGTGTGTGCCCTGTGTGTGCCATTGTGTGTGCCCTGTGTGTGCCACCGTGAGTGCCACCGTGTGTGCCACTGTCCCCGGGCACTGGCCTGGGCTGGAGCCCGGTGCAGCCCGGCGCTGTGCTCCAGAGTGGCTCAGCTCTGCCATCTAGCCTGCAAACAGGAGACCTGAGGCACTCAGGATGCAAAAATTGAACGAATTGAGGGATGCAAAACCACAGGGCTCAGCGTCTGATCAATACTCATTGACATTAGTGAGCTTTTTTTTACCTATCGACCTTACCAGGCAAAGGAATGGTAACAGCTTTGAAGGCTCGTGGTCTTTTCCTATTGAAAACAGTGGTATAACATCAGTTAATGTTGTGGGAGGAGCTCCAAGAGGAGCTCCTGCAGTGCTTTTGGAAGGAGGAACTGTGATCCCTCTGATGTCAAGAGCAAAATTCCCGTGGCACCGAGATACAGCCCGATGTTTCGTGGCTTTGTATCTATGTGTAGCAGGCTGAGCTTTTGTCCCACGCATTCTTTCTTGCTCATCTATTAGTCAGGATAATGCATGAAATAGTTCAAAGTTTGTAGCTGAAAAGCTTTAAACGCTCTGTTGCTAACAGACCCACAGGAGAGAAATCATCCCATTCCTACTCTGATAAAATTAAAGAGAAAAGCATGCAACATCTGCATATTAAATTTTAATGTAAGGGGAAAATAGACTTTAAAAACCATACATGTGCCTGTTAGACTTCTAACTGGTATTTCAAATCACTGTAGTAATTATGCTAGGTATATTAAATTCCAAAATATCCAAATATGCAGTTATAGGCCCGATGCAAGGACTAGAAATAGGTAATCTTACTTCCAACATTTTTGTTTTTAAGGAAAAAAAAAAAAAAAAGGAAAATTAAAGGTAAACTAGAATCCAAGCACTATAAACAGTAGCAGATGCTGGTTTGAGGGATGAAGCCCACTCAAAATACCAGTGACACCAAAGCAGACCAACTTTTGTCGCACCAGTTATTTCCCAAGAGGACAGGGTCTAGTCAAGGTTCAGGGTATATAGTTTATTTCCACCCAGTGTTTAGAATACAGGTGAAATATTTCTTTATTAAAATAAAGTGAAATAAACCAAATATTTTTGGCACTGAATATTTCTCTGTATTTCAGTGTGCTAAACCCACTTTATTGCTGACAAAGCAATTATCTATGAAAATTAAATCTAATCTGGACGTTTTTTGAATCTCTAGCTTACCTTAAATTTTAGCAAGCTTTCTTTTGAAGTGTTCCATCCCCACGGAGACATAATTGACATGGAAACATTGATAAGCTCACATATAAAGTACCTTATGAATGCAGTCTCATTAGTGTAAGGTTAATAAAGGACAGTGATAACTAACGGTTTAGTTTTTTCCAGCAAAACACTGCTTTGTAACGTACCTATAGTTTAGAGAATAAAGCCTTATTTATTTAAAACTTGAGAATTTAAAAATGCAGGGAAATTCAAAGTACATTGCCGCATTTTTAGTATTTCCATTGTATTGTCTTTATAGACTACTTGCTGAAACCAAAGAGAACTTTCATACCAGCATTAAATTTGCACCCAATATGCAATTTCAGGATCTCTGATACACACACATGCAAGCCCCTAAATAGGACTGTGTATATGTACATGCACACACATTTTTATGGGGTGTATGTATGTATGTATACATGTGCACACACATGTCCACACACACTAAAACTGATGCACAAGTTATAGATTTTAGGTGTTTTGGGTTAGCTTAACATGTCTGTTTAAGTAGATATAAACCTTTTGGTTTTCTCCAAGCCATTAGGAACAAACCACTCTTCCCATAAGCAATATGCGCCTCATACTCTGAATAGGCAAAGAACACGCTTTTCTTTAATTTCCTTCAAAACATGAAGCAAATAACTCTGGAACTGCTCAGTCTAGCTGGAAAGCTGTGTTACCTCTGAGCAGACTGCCCGGCCACACCGACTGAAGCATGGACAGGTTACCTGGTGCTCCCTTGCTCTGACCGGTGCCATTACTCAACAGGGCATCCTTGGAGGGGAGTTTCTTCTAATGCTGCATTGAACATTACCCAGGAAACCTGTCTCTGTCTGTTAGTGTTAGTCTTTCAGTTCATTTCATTCCTGACAAAATGGAAATCGGTTTCAAATTTGACAAGAGGATCTAAAACTCTGCCAGGAAGGATTAGGAGGGAGAGCAGAACCTGAAAGAGTTTGGGAGCATCAGGAGATGGGGCTTCAGTCAAAGGTGACTCCATGGGCAAGAGGGCATTAGGAACATGCATTCAGCTAACAGGCTGCATCCAAACATGACCACAGTGACCCACGGGGGAGGCTGGCCAAGAGGTGAACTGTCCGCATCCATCCCCATTGTAAATGGCATCATTAGATTTCTAGGAAAAAAAGAACAAAACAAACAAAAAAAAATCCTTCTTCAGACTGCCCCAGAGCGCTCCATTAGCCCTGCGTGGCTTTCCAGGGCCGCAGCCTCCTCTCCTTACTCAGGTAAAGCAAACCCCACCAGAGCGAGCCAGCCAGCGACGGGGCTTTTGCTTGAGAAGTTGCTCCTGCACACGCCATGCCAGGAGCAAATTCCCAAGCAGCCGAGTGGCCGGGGTGGCCTGGCATGGGAGCAGCCCCAGGGCTGCCCGCGGGCACCGCTCTTCTCCTGGGATTTCAGGATAAGGCCACGGTGCTGCTGGGCACCGCCCCAGGGGCTGCTGCTGCCCGGAGGGCTCGGAAACACTGCTGAGCTTATACCAAAGAGTCTTAGGACACCTCTCCTCACCTGAGTTGTAAACGACATTTTTACCCCAAAAAACGTTCCTTCTTTCTACTACTCTTCCTCCTATCCTCCTCCTCTTCCTCCTCCTTTGTACATAGGGATGAAAACTATGCATTTAGCAAACAAAGAGAAAGCACTTACCCTTTTCTATCTCACTGCGTTTGGGTGCATTCAAAGGCCCAGGGGCTAATTTTGAGACTTTGCTTAGCCTCCTGGTTTATTATTGTGGTGTGGTTAGCTTTACAATACATTTGGTAACTATTTGCTAAAGACAAAGAAGCAAAAGGTAAGGAATAGCTACTTCCACGTGTTAAAAAAAAAAGAAAAAAAAAAAGAAAAAAAAAGTGTGTAAAGATCTACTATTTATAGTGTGAACCAAAGACGCTACCTCACTCGATTTCCATTGGTGATTTTAATCACATTGATGATACCAAAGAATACCAAAGATTTTTCATGCACGGCCTTGGTCTGGAAAGGGAACTCATCCTTCTTCTTACCCCCATCCCCTGACCCCCTTCCTCACCTTCACTCAGTGTGTAACCTTGTCTTCATTCTTAGTGGTAATGCTAATAACCTTACGAATACTTCTCTTGCTACAACTGCTACTACTGACGATGATAAGGATAATAATAATAATAATAATAATAATAATAATAAAGCTCTTGGCAAACATGTTGCAAACTTTGTAAACTCATAGGACGAGTGCCTTGCTTGAACCAAAGTGTTAAACCGCTGTTGACCTCTTTATCTCTCACCTTATACTCTTTGAATACCTCAGCCTGTTAGAAAGGCCACTAATGAAAAAAAGGAATAATTCTTCACCGTGGTGCTTTTTGCCGTGCAACCATGCAATGAAACTTTCTTTGATACCAAAGGAAAATGTTTTTTTCCACTTTCTTGCTGACAAACCAAAGGTTCCCTCTTCTTTCCCCCATAGCAGCTTGAGTCCCTCAGCCCAGACAGGCCGTGCATCGCTTTTACCAATTCCTCCAAATACCTCATAGTAATAAATCTTTAGGGTTATGTTGTATAGAGAGTCTATGTGATAAGGCAGAACTTACTAGTTTGATAATTGTTAAGGTTACTTAAAAAAAGCTTTATAATTCTTATTTATTTTGTAGGGGTTGTTTTGTTTGTATATTCCTTTTATATTGTTTGGTTTGGGTTTGGGTTTCTTCTTTTTTTCCTTTTTTTTGGCAGAACTTCTCTGTTATACTCAAGGAAGATCTTATTCCTGGGAATGTTTCAAAGTGGGTAAAGATTGCTGTTTGCAATGAATGCAAGAAAGGGAAACATGGCTTCAAGTACTTTTGTCTTTTGTTTCAACTAGGATGCTTTGTGTTTGCTAGTCGATGTTCTTTTCACAGGGTAAAAAAAAAAATATTCTCTGCTGTGATAAATGGTTCCTATTTTTTCTCTATAATGTGCTGTGACTTTTAATTTAATTACATTTTGTATACGCTTATTTAATCACTGCTTTAATTTATGACTATGTAGTTTAAAAAAAAAAAAATTGTATATAGTAGATTCAAAAATGGCCAAAGCTTTATGTTACAATCTTTTCATTCTTGTTGCTGAGATGAACTGAAGGAGAGTGCTTCTCTTGACTGCAGGGTGTATCTTCAGCCTTGTCTTGGCATGCACTTCCACCCGTGTTACAAACACTGCCAGGTTACCCCCCAGGCCTCCCTTCCCCCCAACTTGTACATGCCAAAATGAGTGTTTCAAGGTAGTACTTTTGTCACTTAGAAAGCAGAAAGGCATTATTAGTGTGTTTTTTCTTTAATTTATTTGTCTTTTTCTAGAAAGATTGCTTTGTGGGTGAGACCCGCACATCCAAAGAATTTAAAAGTCGTTTAATGTTTAAAAGCACTGGCATTTGTGAGAGATTTTGCTGAGTTTTTATTTTCCTTCGCCATTCGCACGGGTAGCGCAAGCGAGTAGCAGGCGCGGGCCTCGGGAGAAAAGCTGACTTGAATCTGGAAGCCTTGCTCACGGAAAGGCCTTGGCGGGCGGCGGGACAGCGCGGGCCACCCGTGGGCCACCAGCAGGTCACCTGCTCCCCAGGCAGGGCCTGCAGGATGGATGGGTGGATGGATGGGTGGATGGATGGGTGGATGGGGCCCTTGGGGCACGGCCGGCTCCCGGGGAAGCTGCAGCTTCTGCCAGGCTCAGGGGCCGCAGCAGCTGCAGCAGCGTGGTGCCCGGCTGTGGGCAAGCACAGGGAGCTGTGCAGAGCCCCTGCCAGGGGCACGGAGCTGCCCTGCCACCCCCACAGCTCCAGGGAGGACAAGGCAGTTCGGAGTCGAAAAGCAAAAAAAATAAAAAAAAAAGAGTAATGACAATGATACTTCTGCAAAGCTGATGATGGCATCATGGCACAGAGAATAGGATGCCACTCACTTGTGTTTTATTTTGCATAAAGACTAGGTTCTGGTTCAACCAAATGTCGTGTACTGACACGGTTTGTGATGGCTGTAAATATTTCCTTTCCCGTGCAGTAGCTGAGCCCCAGGTGTTCCTCCTTTTCCTTGGAGGGGATAGTTGAGGGGCTGAGGGAGGGAAGGACAAGGGCAGGGTTTGAGCTTTCGGTCAGAAGTTACACTTTCTAGGTACGTTTTTATACTTCAAGTATTGAAATGGGGCAATAAAGAGGCTCTGAAATGAAGGATCATTAAATGATCTGTTGGTGGGCATTGGCTCAGTGTCTGCTTTTAATACAGGAGCTAATGCTGTGCAATGAGTTCTGCCTCACGTGGAGGGGGAGGCAAAGCATTGGTGTGAGAATCGGCGTGAGCCATCGAGCGCTGGACAAACCGTGCTCGGGGAGCCGCGCTTTCCTGTCCCGTTCCGCTAGTTTGTTTTTTCACGGCATGTTCTGCATTTACTGCACTTACTGCATCCTCACCGTGGGGCCGCGTTAGTTTTGCAGCCTGCCCCGAGCAGCGGGGAGCGTTCGGCACAGCCTGGCCGGGTCCGAGCTGCCCGGGGAGCTGCGCCCTGCCCGGCCCCGCGCTGTCACACAGGGCGCCACAGACAATCACGGGTCCCGGCTCCGCAGGGCTAGGAAATCTTCCCAGAGCAAGCGGGAGTTCTTCCAGAGCAACGGAAC